TTCTGCAGAGGATGTTTAACTTATTTACACTCAGAAAACCAACAAAAACGTGCAATTTGACGAGGGGCTCAAACCTCTCGCACACAACCACACCTACGCACACCTACGACGGCCTCACAACAACTGAACTCTGAACTAATGAACCTGGTTCTGTTTAAACTGAGGGGCCAACAATGTATTTTCATAACATAGATAAACGAATATCAGTAGGGTTTGGACTGAAGCATTTTACTGTTAAACTGTTGAAAAGTAAAGAATGTATAAGCTGAATGTCTCACACGCGTCAAAGGTCCAAGTTTTCTGTCAGATCTGCCTTAAGCTGTGTTAACTAGTGTGGAAAAACAAACAGGCCTATGTGGCACTGTTAGCTTGATGCTAACAACACTGAAAGTCATATTAACATTGGTAATTTGTTAGGAAAAATCCACCTACAAGGCGAAGGTTTCTGCCTTAAATGCTGCCATATTAAGATATTTTCATTATTATATGACAAAATTATTAGAAAGTGAATGAAAATCAGTGCAGTATTCAGGGAAAGGCGACTGACCGCATGTGGTAGTTGTAGCATAACAGCATACTTGAAAAGAATGACATCTCTTGGTGGAAGAACTGTTTATTGTGATTCTTATTTATTACTGCTTAATTAATATATAATAATATAATAATAATGAAAAATTGTGTATTTTATCAAATTTTATGCTGCACCGTTTTATAAATCACTTGAAGCTGTTTTCAGTGATTTTACCACTGGTATTAGGCATAAGGGCACCCCTGTCCCCAGATAGCAAGGATACGCTGGCTCAATGTTGGCTCAACATCGTTTACATTGGCATAACATTGGCGAATCACACTGAACCAGCGCTGGGCGGTGGGCCTGAGTTCGCTGGCGACCAATTTTCAGTAGCGAGGTGATGGAGGGCTTGTGAAGGCAACACCGTTCAGCTAAAAGTTGGCTGACTGTCCCGATCTTAACCTTCAGGAAGTACCAAAATGTGATAATTACGTGATAATTAAGTGATAAGGGCCCTTACCTGTGGGGCAAAAAATCACAGTAATGCCGAGTCTCACATGGCTTATTGATTTACTACATATTATGAACTCAGATGATGGTGGTTAAAGTCAGTAAGCGAAAGTCAGCACTCAATGCAGCGCATGTACATCACGTTAGCTCGTGGCACCAGTTTCGCTCGGCCCACGCTGGCCTATAAAGATATCACACAAATAAAACACTACACTTCAGCTCTCCGTCAGTGTTTACAGGTGTGACCAGAAGCCATAAGATCAGATAAAGACTGAGTGATTTGAGGGAGTGGCTGCTCTGCCACTGTGAGCAGGTAGAGAGCTAGTTAGCGAAAAAAGAAACTGAAGGACTTGAGGGGACGTCTACCTTGCTGAGCAAATAATGAGCTAGACAGCACAAAAAGAGACAGTAACAGAGAGATATTAATGCCCATGGTTATTCCTGAGCGCCACAATGAAGGCAGCATGGAGCTTCTTTTACACTGTGATAGAAAACACGGTGGCTCACAGAAAGCTTTCATTCCAAACAGGAGTGGGAGACGTTCCACAAAAGATCACCATACTTAAATACAGACATTCTCATAATACACTATACGCATCACGATATCGGACAACGTTGGCCAGATAAGAACCAGCAATGCCACATTTAAAAAAATGACAAGACTCATATTCAGAACATTTACTGAGCTAAATCCAGGTAAGCAGGACTAATTCTGCCCTCACTGTAATAAAAATCACAGCCAGTCAGAGTTCTTTAAGTACGGATCTCCAACACAGAAAAGCATATTGAGACATATTGTGACAAAATTTAATCACAATAAAAACAAATATGGTCACACTGCCCACCCTTAATTCCACATGCTGATGCATTTTAATGTGGCCAACATGAACATGCTGCTCACCAACTACTCTGGATTCTGATCAGTTAAAAAGGGACAAGACAAACATGACAAAGGGATCAACAACTAGACGTCAGGTATGAAAGGGTTAATCACATCAGCAATAACACCCAAGCTTTAAAATATAGATATACAGTGTGACAGAGCGCTGTATGAATTTGTCATTTATTTTTCAGTTTTCCTATTACTACTACTACTACTACTACTAGTATTATTATTATTATCATTATTATTATTATTATTATTACTACTACTACTACTACTACATTATTATTATTATTTATACAATAATCATAATAACAATAATATTAAACAGCTCTGGTTGCCTTTATATGAATATTCATATGAACCTCTTTCACTGCATTAGTAATGCTGAAAGCACTATAACTGGTTATAATTACAACCACCAAAGCCTAAGCATGTGCACATAAAATAAATAATTCAATATCATAATAATAAATAAAACTGAACAAAAGAATGAATGAAAACACCACACAGCATCACACGAGGTCATATTCACATCTGTGAATCACATTCTTAGAGAGAGAGAGAGAGAGAGAGAGAGAGAGAGAGAGAGAGAGAGAGAGAGAGAGAGAGAGAGAGTCAGTGTTTGCTCCTGCTACTGTAAGTGCGACAGTCAGACGTAAGATTTAACCAAAATCTTTCCTATTTAGTTTATTATTAATCACCTGTTTAATGTTCAATTTCTTTTTTTATTATTATTTGTTTATATTCTCAAACTATGGCAGTGCAACCGTACCATTATTTATCCGGCCAATAAAGCAAACTGGATTGAAGTTTCATTAGCTCACCTACTGCCTCCTCTGATTGGTTCAACATTTTTCATGTCATCCTAATTTGTTTCCTATTTATCTGCCTGTCAGATTATAATTGCTTTGGCAGTATTTCATGTAAAGCAGTCCTATCAATAACACTTATAAAACAAAGCCAAAACTGAGAGAGTGAGAGAGAGAAAGAGAGAGGGAGAGAGAGAGAGAGAGAGAGAGAGAGAGGGAGGAAGAGAGGAAGAGAGAGAGAGAGAGGGAGGAAGAGAGGAAGAGAGAGGGAGAGAGATGGTTATATTTTGCTTATTACCACATTATATCAATACTTTATTGTTATGCTTGTTTTAATGCATTGCCTGTGAATGCACGTAAAGCAGCTAATAGAGTTAGATAAAGATAATTAAACTGAACTGAGATCTGCTTATACTGACATACAATAAAAATTATTTTAATATTTTGTTGCCATACGTTTTTTATTATTAATTATAACATTAATGTGCTGACTGCCAACTTGTTAATGCTTTGGCAGCACTGTATAGAAAGCAGGCAATAAAGCCCACTGAACTGAACAAAACAGACAGATGTTCAGATACATGAATTATTATTACCCCTATATAATTTATTTTTCATTGTGTTTACTATTATTAATAATAAACAGTAAACTAGTAATTGTTGCAGCTATACTGCACAACAAACAACAGGCAGCCCACAGAACTGAACTCCGAGAGAGATGAGCATTATTGTTATTTTCATTATTAACTAAGCTATAAGCATTAAGCTAATTATACACTTTTGATTGCTATGGTAATATGTGGCACAGAAGCCAGCCATTACAATTCAACCCACTGAACTGAAGTCAGAGAGCTTTAGTTAGTTTTTTTTTTTATTAATTAATATTATATTTTTGTTAATATAGAACTTAATTATGCACTTTAATGGGAAGTATGCATTCCAAAAAAAAGCCATATGAAATGACACAGATAAGAAAGGGAGAGATAATTACATTGATTATTGCTATATAATATTAATATTGTGTTGTTATACATGCTAATGATGAACTGTGCCTTGCTTTGGCAGGGCTGCATGGTAGGCAGGCGACTGCAGTCACTTGTTGCAATATACATATTTTATATGTGTACATTTACATTTATATTTTCTGCTCAATTCTCTTAGCTATACATACTGTGTATATATATATATATATATATATATATATATATATATATATATATATATATATATATATATATACACACACACACACACACACATACACCTCAGGACTTAACTACTTAACTCTATCTGTATCTCCCTTTGCACATGCTTTTACTTGTACGTTGTATGTGGACTGTATGTTATGTTTATATATTGTACGTCTTTTTCTGTTTCTTTATTTTTATTGCATTTAATTTCATGTTGACACCTGGGACTGGGCCCATAAAGATCCTGATTCCAGTGAAGCCCACTGAACTGACGGGCTGATAGAGACGATTACATTAATATTAATATACTTAATATTTTGGTTGTGATTGCTTTTGGCAATACTGCATGGAAATAAGACACAGAGCCCACTGATGTGAACTGAGAGAGAGAGAGAGAGAGAGAGAGAGAGAGAGCGAGAGAGAGAGAGAGAGAGAGAGAGAGAGAGAGCGAGAGAGAGAGAGAGAGAGAGAGAGAGAGAGAGAGAGGGGAATAGAAAAGAGAGATATGAGAGAGAGAAATGAAGAGAGGAATAGAAAAGAGAAATAGGAGAGAGAGAGAGAAAAGAGAAAGAGAAATAGAGGAGATAAAAGAGAGAGGCAGAGAGAGAAAGAAAGAAAGAAAGAAAGAAAGAAAGAAAGAAAGAGAGAGAGAGAGAGAGAGAGAGAAACGAAGAGAGAAATAGAAGAGAGAAATAGAAGAGAGAAATAGGAGAGAGAGAAAAGAGAAAGAGAAATAGAAGAGAGAAAAGACAGAGAGAAACAGAAATTAGAGGAATAGAAGAGAGAGAAATCGAGGAGAGAAAAGAGAGGCAGAGAGAAAGAAAGAAAGAAAGAAAGAAAGAAAGAAAGAAAGAACCAGAGAGAGAGAGTGAGAAACAGAAATGAGAGAAATAGAAGAAGAGAGTGAAATAGAGGAGAGAAGAGAGGAAGAAAGAGAAAGAAACAGAATAGAGGAGAGAAAGAGAGAGAAACAGAAGAGAGAAACAGGAACGAGAGAAAGAGAGAATTGGAAGAGAGAAAAAAGAAAGAGAAAGAACCAGAAGAGAGAGAGAGAGAGAAAGAGGCAGTAATAGTGTAAAATGTCCTCCACTCACTCTCTCCGGTCCCGCAGTGGCAGAGCGCGAGCGCGGCCGCCACCCACAGCAGCAGCGCCGACGGATCCGCGCGCACCACCATCACTCCGCCTCGAGCTGGAAACGGTTAAAAAAAAAAAAGAAAAAAGAAAGAAAACGCAGCACGCGGGCGACTGAAGGAGGAGAAAAACTACGAGAAGAGAAAGTCCGGTGGAAAGTTGAGCCTCAGCGGCCCAAAATAAAAATAAAAAACACGAACAGCGTGGTCCACTTTCTCCTCCTCCTCCTCCTCCTCACCGCCGGAGCTCCTCGGGTCTCTGTCTCTGCCTCAGCGCGGAGCTAACGTTAGATAACATGGTCCTGTATTGTGGCACAAAACAAACGGACGCAGATCTTCATGGTGCTGCTGTGTGCGGCTGCACGCACATGTGCGTTAAGGGTAGAGGAGGATTGAGTAAGGAGAGCAGAGGAGGGGAAGGTGGTGGGGGGGTGGTGTTATGTCCCAGAGTGCTGGCTGGGGCAGTTGGGGCAGAAGAAGAGGAGGCCTGCACGGCCCAAAGGCCACTCTGTAGCTTAGTGATCCGAGAGAAAACACTAAACACGCCTGATTAATCCTTATTGCTGACGCTTTCAGCGCCCTTCACGCTCCCAGCGGCTGTCTGCGGCTGTTTTTTGGCCCAAACTCCAACAGCTTCCACGTTTTTTTCCAGTCCTAGTGAACTGGAGTAGTTAATCCACAGGTCGTCCCGTGTAGGTGCATGGCTCCTGGAAATAAAAAGCACACAAATCCCTGGAAAAGACCGAGGAAGCCACCTTAAATCCGCCGTTTGACGTCTCCGGAGCCCCTAAAACAGTCTGATTTATTTCTCCGCTGTAAAACAGAGCAGCAGTGTGCTGAGCTGAGCTGTACTAGAGCGCCGCGCTGGAGTCTCCAGCTCCTCCAACAGCCACAGTGAAGCCAATAAACCCGCACACGGGCCGCCCAGACGGCCGAAAATCGCCTCGTCGCTCGAAAAGACCCCGACTGGAGGTCCGCACCGGCTTACAGCCGCATTAAATCGCTAAAAAGGTGGGTAAATCTCGCCCTGTAGCCGTACGTGTGCGTCGTGCTGCTGCCCCGCTCCGTCTCTCTCTCCGGCCCTCCAGTAAACAACTCCTGCAGTCAGCTGGGGCGCCCGGCGAGCCGCAAAACCCGGCCCGGAGTCGCGGAGCAGGAACGCGGAGTCTGGGATGCGCTCTCACACGCAGGGGGCGTGGCTAGAGCTTTCAGAATGGGGTGGCCAGGTAAGAATCGGATGCAGAGAAAAGAATACATGAAATATATAGAATATTTAGGAAAAAATATATAAATATATAGAATATATATAATATATTTATATATAAATTATATGTAATACAAAAATATATGTATACTATATATAAAATAAATAAAAAATACAGAATATATTGTATATATTATACATGTCTAGTTATCAGTACAATTTTATATATATATGTATGTATATATATATATATATATACATATATATATGTGTGTGTGTGTGTGTGTGTGTGTGTATGTATATATGTATATATAGTATGAGTTTAAAATGAGTTTCACTTTGTGTTATTGTAGATTATTTTGCTGCTGATTTACTCATTTACTGTAGTAGTGATGTGAATGATTGCATCAATAAAATATACATATATATACATATATAGATGTGTGTGTGTGTAAATGTGTATGTATATATATATATATATTTAATTGATGCAATTTTTTGTAACAAACACAATTACAACACACATCACTACCACATACATCACTACTACACAAAATGAGTGAATTAACAGCAGCAAAGTGATCTAAAATAACACAATTGAAATTCAAACAAACAAGTAAACCATATAGATAAATAAATAATAAATATCTTTTACACATCATGCTGAAAACCAGACATTCAACTTCAAAACAAGTTGCAAAACTCCATGAAAGTTAATTATTTATGCAGATTTCCCGACAGGTTATGCATCAGTCTGATGATTAGAGAGCGGTAGGGCTGAGTGATTAATCACATGTTTATTTTACTTTGGTTTCCAATGATTATGAAAGCAAGATGATCAAAATAAAATGGCTATTGTGCTGCATTCATACAGTGGTGTTCTTGTTTTGTCTTGTGTTATAAATCCAGCGCAACCCTTCCCCTCTTTTTTAGTGTTTTTCAGTTGAGTTATATTTAAAGTTTAAGGAAATCCACTGTTAAAAAGACGAGTGTTCAAGTTCAGTAAACTGTGTGATGTGATGTTTCCAAAGTCAATGAGTAATCATGTTAAATAAATATGATCATAATATCGACCAAAATAATCTTGATTATTATTTTTGCCGTATTCGAGCAGCCCTAGGCAGCACTGCATAAGGGAACCTACAGCACATGCATGTATTCAGCTGTAAAAAGTAATTGGTTTGCATAATAAACGATTATAGCTGACTAATCTTCGATAGTTACTCATTTTCCACTGCAGACCCAGCGCACATTCACTCACCTGTTTACTGAGTAAATCAGCCAATCGCAGCAAGACATGCTAATTACTGAATGCAGCGTCATCAGACTCTCACAGATGATTGACAGATTTTCACCATAAAGCATAATTTATACTTTATTAATCATGGCTGATTGTCTCACTTCCCATAACTGGGGTGGCCAGAAGGGCGGCCATACACTGGCCACCCCTTGGCGTCGCATTCTAGATCTCATTTGCTCACTGCGCCCTAAACAGGAGCACTCTGTAGGGAAAGATTTTAAAGGGGAATTCCACCCGTCATTCAAAATTTCTGTATGATTAATTAATGATTGTTTTTGATAACATCACCGTGCACCAGTGGGTGCGGGGGGGAGGGGGGTCAATATTAACCAATTAAGGGTGGGCATTATAGCACTATTTATCTTTGTCATGAAAATAAATAATGCCACGTTTTACCAATATCTCGCATAATTAAATGTTTTAGATGTAAACAGAGTCGTTCAGAGTGGTTTGGTGTGAAACGCTCTGTTCTAGAGAAACTTACCGAGTCAGAACTGTTCACAGTGGTGGTGATAGGAACCAGACGTCCACCTCTAAAAGCTCCCTCACATATTATTACATGAAATGGTTATGAATTCACTGCCTGACGTCTGAGACACTGTTTTATGATAGTTTTGAGAAGGTTTTGGCTTGAAATGTATTTTTAAATCCGTTCTTGGTGGAGGGATACATACAGGGTGTTGTGAGGCAAAATAGTCCCCAAAGAAAACATATTTTTTCAGATCATCACCAGATTTTTTCCCATCATCAACATTCCATATAAACTCAGAAGACTCGTGTAGGTTCACTGGTGGTTTTGGATAGTAAATAAAATGTCTATATTTGTGTTGTAGTCATGGCGACCCCTGGTTCCTATCACCACCACTGTAAAGACATCTGACAATTTCACACCAAACCACTCACAAAACTTATCAAACGAAATGTTGTGATGTGTAGCATATATCGAGAGTATATATTACTATGTATATAATATTATATATATATATATATATATATATATATAATGTATTTATATAATTACACACACACACATATATATCTGTGTATATATATATATATATATACATATATATATATATATAATATATATATATATATATATATAATATATATATATATATGTATAATACTTAAATAAACATGTTTTTAAAAATGATAGTTTGGTGAAGTCGGTACACAGAAGATCAGCTCTTCATTTGTATTAAGCACAAGTCTAATATGGCTTAAACACTTTCCATCTACCTACAGCAAGCAAAGGTGCTGAAGTCCATGTGAAATAGATTAGTCCCTGATCAGATCTGCTCCTGTCAGCCCTGTCAGTCTTCAATATATATATATCAGAAACATCTCCTGAAAATGAATAGCTTGTAACTCCCTCTTTGAGTGGACAGCATAGACACACCTGTGTGAAGGTGGTCAGAAGGGCAGTGGGCCAAGTTTGGAACGTTTAATCTCCAGAACTCTGAGCTCCAGACGCAGAGAACATCTCGGCTGGAGTAAATCTGCGATTAGACAATAACTCAGTCCTCATCCAGCCCCCTCTGACTGTTCCTCAGCACTAATCCAGCATCATATCTGCTAATCACATTACTGCTGCCTTCCATACCTGACTGAGGGCTTTTTCTGTGGACAGCACTGATCAGAGCGGTTTGACTTTAAAGGGGACTTCCACCATTTTTTCAAAATTTCAATATAATTCAATGGTGTGACAGTCATTCAGAGTGGTTTGGTGTGAAATGGTTCAGATGTCTTTACAGTGGTGGTGATAGGAACCAGGGGTCGCCATGACTACAACACAAATATAGACATTTTATTTACTATCCAAAACAGAATGGACCTTAGACAGCCAATCATCAATCTAAATTTTGGCGCAAACCTGCTTGTTTGAAAATAAATAAATAAAATAATAATAATAAGACAGTGAAAGTTTGAAAGTTTTTCAAGCCAACTAATTACATCAAAACGGTGGAAGGCTGTTGATGGTTGCAATTTACTGCCATCTTAGATTTAAATTTAAATTCAGTGCTACCATAAATCTACAGCCACCTTAAACTCAGTGCTACCTTAAATGCAGTTCCACCTTAAATTATACTAAATTTTAGATTCTCTGTTCCACTAATTTCATTTTAGCAGATTCATTATAGATGGGGGGTCTAGCCTCTACAAGGTGGGTCTCAATTAAGTGATTTACCCTCTTGGTGCTGTGTTTGGCTTTTGGTGACCTCCCCCCACTGTTCCCTGTAGTTTGGCTCTCTTTGCTGCTTGTTTCAATAAAGAGCATCCTCCTTGTGCAGAACATGGCTGACTCGCGATCCTCTTCTGCGCCAACGCTACAGTGTGGAAGATTTGAATTAACTTTTTGGTGCTACATAGGACCATTTTCAAAAAAATTCAACACATTCCCCATCAGTCTGAAGATCCATTTCACCATGCAGAGAACTGTTTGAGCATGCAAAGGGTTCTTTGAATGTTCATGGTTCTATATAGAATCACTGTCTTTACTAAAGAACCCTTGAAGAGCCATCCTTTTTAAGGGAGCAGTGCACAAATCACAAAAGTCTTCCATTGCTTTTGTCCCTAGACTTTACATCCTTAGCCATATATTTATTTATTTTAATTAAAATCAAATTCTTTCTGCCTATGAACTTTGTGAGCGGCAAGAAAGCTGAACTCGCAGCGCTTCTGCTGTCTTCAGCGGCAGGAAAACAACTTCACCTGACAAACATTAATAAAGGTCAGTGAACGCTGTCCAGTGACCACACCTTATAACGCGTTTGTACAGGCTACACGTTGCATGATGTAGCAAAAATGAAAACAAACAAATGAAAGGTCAACTAAAACACACACAGAATTCCCCACCTTAATGAAACACCCTACGGCCACTATGTCTGTGTACGGTTACAGACTGTAGTCCATCTGTTGATGTACAGTTATCAGCCCCTCTACTCCATTCATCATTGGTCAGTTTCTGCCCACATTGTAACATAAACTGAGATGAGCTACAGTCTCTAACTGTACACCAGCATGTACAGACAAGCAAGTTGTATATGTTTAGTCATTATAATATACTTTATTATTAATAAAGTAGTGCAAAGTATTATTAACCACTATATAGTTGACCCGAATATCTGGGTTAACAGTGGTGCTACACTTGATTATTTAACGTTCTTGCAGAGATGGAGACAATAAGAGAGCAGGGAACCATACAGCTCCCCCACTCACACTGTTTTAGCTCTAATAGCCCCCTCACTACTGTGCTCACCCTGCATTGAGTTCACAGCTGCTTCAGTCTGATCACCTCCTGCCCCCTTTACTGACCCCAACATCATCACGTAAACGCCATACAGATCATGTATAGAGTCGTATGAAAAAAACGTAGTGGAGCTGCTGACATATAAATAAAATTAATGCGTGGCCACAACTAAGTAAGGCATGGGAACAAGATAATTAAGTTGTGGCCACAACATAGTAAGGCATGGGAGCAAGACAATTAATGCGTAGCCATGCCTTATTAATGTGTGGGAGCAAGACAATTAATGCGTGGCCACACCTTATTAATGTGTGGGAACAA